TTCTAGTGACCTAGGTTTCTAGAAATTTAAAACAGTTTTCAGATGTCAAAAATCTCCATTTAGAAGTGAGTTACAGCAATTTGAAGTTGGTGGCCTAGCTTTCCAAGTTTTGCGAAGCTAGGCCACAAATTAGGTCATAGTGTATATTATTGAAAAGCTCAGGTTTTGAGAAACCTATATCAATTTTTAAATTTTAAAAATATTGATCTTGAAGCGAGTTATGAGCATTTCAATTTTGAAAAAATGTGGCCTAGTTTTGGATTTCTAGGCCACCAACTTCAAATGGCTGTAACTTGGCTCAAATTTGGTATTTTTGAAATCTGAAAACTGTACCATAGTTCTAATGACTTGTTCTTTTGATTTATGTAATTCATGGCCTAACTTTTTCAAATCTGGGATTTCTAGGCCACCAAACTTCAAATTGTTGTAACATGGCTCAAAATTGATATTTTTCAAATCGAAAAACTGCATTGGAACACTGAAAAGTTGTTTTTTTGAAGTGATTAGTAAAAATTCGAATTAGCGTAAAATTTTGGGTGGTTTAGAAACCCAAATTTATGGGAAGTTAGGTCGCTTTCAGTCTCAAATTTGATACATTTTCAAAGTGTTCGATTTTCAAAAGTTTGACATTTTCAAATTGGTGAAAAGTCGGAAATTCCAAAACTTCAGTACTAACTGCATGCTTTACCCCTTCACTGAACTCCCCTTTCCTCCCCGGGAAAAGCTGAGAAAGGAACACACACCTTACCGTCTTCCACACCATTTCTCAATGTTGGCGCGGTGGTGTCGGGGATGTGGTGTCCGCCGTTGTGCGTTGGCCTAGGGTTCGAGCCTACTTGTGGTTTTCCTTTTTTTTTCTTTTTTTTGGCAACAAAAGAGTAAAATTACAGTATTCTACACCAAAAATTTCAAATCACTCCTTTCCGGTTCTCATGCACACCATGCAAAAACAAGTACGTTCTCATAAACTTTAGAGCTCATTAAAAAAGTGTGACCTGTCTGTCTCTTTTCTTTTTATCAGGTAATTTCGAAATTTCTAAAGTATGTACTGCTCTCCTTTTTAATTGGGTTGGGAATGAGAGAGGATTTGAATTTTGGTAACAACAAAATTTGAAAAATTTGAAATTTTAGGGGAATAGGGGATTTGGGGGTTTGGCATTTTTTGGAATTTTTTAGAATTTCAATAAAATTGGAATATTTTGAGAACCTATAATTCTAGGTTTTGCAGACACTGGAATCTGAAAAATTTTAAAATTTCAACGAATTTCAATTTTTGAGAATTTGAAGAACTTAGCATAACAAATAGGACCTTTGATTTTCCAAAAAGTTCTAGAATCTGAAAATTCCAGATTCTCAAAGTTCTAGTGATTTCTAGTCAAAAACAAATTTTTGAAGGATTTTCAGAATTTTCAAGTTTTCAGATTTTTGAAAATTTTGGAATTTTCTGAATTTCTGAATTTTTAAATTTCTGAATTTCTGAATTTCTGAATTTCTGAATTTCTGAATTTCTGAATTTCTGCATTTCTGAATTTCTGAATTTCTGAATTTCTGAATTTCTGAATTTCTGAATTTCTGAATTTCTGAATTTCTGAATTTCTGAATTTCTGAATTTCCGAATTTCTGAATTTCTGAATTTCTGAATTTCTGAATTTTCAGCATTTTTGAGTTTTCAGCATTTTTGAATTTTATAATCTTCAGAATTACAGGCTTTTGAATTTTCCTATTTTCCAAATATTCCAAAAATTACAAAATATCGTAGATTCGGAAATTTGAATTTCAAGCATATGCATTCTCATTTTTCGATTTTCTTAAAATTTCGAAAAATCTAAAACTTCGAAAATTGAAAAAAAATCTGAAATTCTAAAAATTTCAAATTTCTCGAAATTTTTAAATTTTCAGACTTCTAGAACTCAAGAATCGGGAAAAGGGTATTTCAGGGTGGTACGGTAGACACAAAAAGAGACCGCCGAAACCCAAAAAAAGGTTCAGAGATCGTCCCTTTCAAATTACCCGCCAAAAAATTTTAGAACCCTAACAAAAAATCGCAACCTCAAAGGGGCAAATCCCCAAAAAATGTCCCAAAAAAGTCCTTTTTCAAAAATCGCCGATCACCTCAAAAGGGCTCTCCCCACCTGCCAAAAAAGAGGTGTCAAAGGACCACCGCTATGACATTTAGAAATACAAAAAAATTTTGGGAAATACAAATGTTTTTCAACTTGGGGGGGGGGGGGTCTATGGGAAAATAAAACCAGTATAAGGCGTCTATGGGAATTCGGAAAATATGAAGGTAAGGAAAATTTAGGGGGGACCAAAAAAAGAAGATATTGCGCAACTTGCATGGGAAATGTTATTGGAGAAAGAAAAGGGTTTTAGAAGAGACAGAATAGAAGAAAAGGAAATTGACATTGGCGAAAAAATCATCAAAATTGGTCCACAAATACAGATTTTTCGAAATTTCGATCTACAGTAATCCAAAAAAAGGTACTGCTAACTTTGACCCTATTTATCTTGGTTACCGTAGCAGATATCAAAAGGTGGTTAACTAACAGAATAATTCTTATAAAATTTTATACACTTTGTTAGTTGACCGCTTTTTGATATCTTTCACAGTAACCGAGATAAATTGGCTCAAAGTAGAGGGATAGGGTGGCGCGCTTCTCTATGGAAGACGGGCGCCCACTTTAAAGGCGCATATCTCAGAAAATATAAAAGATAGCTAAACTTTGAAAACTAACAAAATGTGTAAAATTTCGTTATCTATGATTTGCATGTTTAACATTTTTGATAACTTTTTTGGTTTTTGAGATATGTGCCTTTAAAGTTACAGCGCGCAAAAGGGACTACAGACACGCGGGCGGCTTCTTTAAAGGCGCATATCTCCAAAACTACAAAAACTAGCTAAAATGTTAAAATAAACAAAATGCGTAAAATATTCAAAGCTACATTTTATTAGTTGATCACTTTTTGATATTTTTTACAGTAACCGAGATAAATTGGCTTAAAATTTTTAGACTTGATGTTAGCTTGAAGGTAGTCATTTTTCAAATCCCTACGAAAGGCCTTCATAATTATTCAAATTTTTTGAAATTCCTACAGTATACCAAACAAAACTAGAACTTTATTTTTGTAAGTGACAACTTTTTTGTAGCTTTGCTAGTTTTCGAGATATGCGCCTTTAAAGTCAAAATTGGAGAAGAAAGACGCAGAAAAGCACACTCACTTTAAAGGCGCATTTCTCAAAAACTAACGAAGCTATAAAAAAGTTGTCAACTACAAAAATAGAGTCCTAGTTTTGTTGTGTGTTCTCTGTAACTTTTGAAAAAATCGAACAGTTTTGAAATGTATTTTCGGGGAAGCGAAAATTAAAAAACAAATTGAGATTTTTGAAAAAAAAAACTTTTTTTTTCAAATTTTTTGCTAGAGGAGGCCAGACACCAAAAAAAAGTTTTTTGCATAGAGAACCCCCATGAGGGGTTGAACTCATGACAGGCAGCTCAAGGGTACAGCGCCTCTACCGGCTGAGCTACGGGGCGCGAAGGCGCCTGACAACCGATGGTGTACATAAGCGCAGCGCGATTTCGTCCCCCAAACTGTCCCCCGAAATTTTTGCTGTCTGGCCCCCTTTAAGTTTCACAGAACGTTAAAAATTGAAATGAGCCTAAATTTCAAAAACTCACAAAATTATTCAAAATTCAAATTTCCCCCCAAAAAGACCAATAAATCCATAAAGTCCTAGTTTCCACCACACCACTTCCGGTGTCTCCATCATCGAATTAGCCAAGGTGTGTTTCTTCTTTTTGTCGGCGTCTCTTTTTTCGCACCAACCAAAAAAGGGATAAATTTTGCTGCCGAAAATTAGGGGCGGTAGGGGATCAAAGGGTTTCTAAAAGAGAAAACTATGTGAAGATTTTGAATTTTCTGGAAATTTCGATTTTTCGAATTGATTGGGACGAATTGAGGGACCGGAATTCTTAAAATAGCATCAGGAGAGCTTAAGGAGTCTAAAAATTATGATTAAAATGAACTAAAAAGTATAAATAAGGATACAAACCCAAAAACCCTACACGGGAGTCGAACACGCGTCCACAGATTAAAACCACGCGCGCAGACCATTCGGCCATTGCAGCTCTTGTCACTGGTGTGCGCGATGATAGTAATGAAAGAGCGGCTTACAAGGAAAAGCGGGGAGGGGGAGGGAGCAGCAGAGGCGAAAATGGAAATTTTGAATTTGCATGAAAAATTGAAAAAGCTTAAATTTGAAAAATGCATCCGCATGTTTCAGAATCATATGAAATTTTGAGCGCTTCAAAATCCGAAAATCTCTGAAATTCTATGTTTTTGGAAAATTCAAAATTTTAGAATTTTTAGCATTTTTAAGAACATCCAGAATCTTTTACACTCTAAATGAAACAATAAAAAAGGACCTTTTTTTAAAATGCAATAAAATTATTTTAATTGAATTGGAAACTTCTAGAAACTTCAAAACCCCTCAAAACCAGCTAAATAGGCTCTAAATTGCTTGAAAATGACTCCTAGGAACTGCCGAACACTTCGGAGAAGGTGTCGAAATGAGAAGTGGTGTAGGTTATCTCGCTAGGATATCTCTTCGAACTTCCACTAACTACCGTATACCCCAAGAGTCGGCGAAACTTCAAAGGGACCAGGCCACGGGCGCCTCAATTGAGGTGACAAGTAAATGCCAATTAACACCTTCCCCCCCCCCCCTTTCTCCCCTAGTGACAGCCGTGTAAAATGCTGTGCAAAAAATTCTCGGAATTCCGCAATTTACAGATAAATTGTTTACAGATTTTTTAATTCAATAATTTGAAAATTCGACTTCCCGCGAATTCGAGTGATAACGGTCACTGACCCATACCGAGAAATGCTTGGCGCATGTCGAGTGAGTTGGCGCGTTTTGCGTTTTTAGCTCATTTTCCACCGATTTTTGCCAACTTTTCGCCCATTTTCTCACAAATTTTTCATTAAATTTCAATAAAAAGATGTCAGACAATCTGTCGGCGCGGTGGCATCGACTTCTCGACATGACGAATCGCGATGCGTCGGAAGATGTGGTGATCGCGAGATCGAGCTACGACGACTTCTCCCAGCCGACGCCGTGGCGCACTTTTGAGATTTCCGCCGGAAATCGGTCTTTGTATGTGTAAAAAAGATAAAAATTTCGATATTTGAGTGATTTTAAAAAATTTGTTTTTGAATTTTTTCCGAATTTTTCGAATTTTTTCAGCTTCGTAAACGCCGGCTGGCTCGCCGAGCTCTCACCATACTTCGCCGAGGAGCTCTTTGTCCGAAAACCAAACTCCAAGCGATACGTCATCGAGCAGGCCACCCCAGAAGAGGTTCTAGAGCTCCTCAGATGTATTACGTTCTGCCCAATGAGAAAGCCGCTTACAGGTGTGAAATGGGCATTGGAAGCTGGAAAAAATCGATTGAGTTAAAATTCTGAAAAACCTTAAAAATCGATTTTCAAGTCAATTTTATGCCTAAATTCCGAAAAATCGATTTCCAGCTGAAAATATCGATTTTTGGCCCAAATATTCTGTAAAAATTGATTTCGAGCTAAAAATATTGATTTTTGAGCTACTTTATGGTAAAAAATCGATTTTTTCAACGAAAAATCAGTCTGGAACGCTGCAATATCGATTTTGAGCAAATGTTCAGACTATGTAACAAAATATCGATTTTCTAGCTGGAAATATTGATTTTTGGCCCAAATTTTCTGGAAAAATCGCATTTCAAGCCCAAAAAACCCTCGTTTTAAGTCAAATTTTCTGAAAAATCCTAATTTTTCAGTGAAAAACGTGTCGCTGGTGCTCACATTCGCCAATCGCTTCGAGATGCGTCCGGTTCAGGCGCGCTGCGAGAACTTCATCGCGTTGAACGCGACGACTCTCAGTCGTGACAAGACCAAACTGTTTCAGGTACAATTTCGAGGGGCTTTGAAGGGTTCCACATGGAAAATTCGGTTAAAATCTCCTAATTTTGGTCTGGAACCGTTATTGACCGATTTTTCTCAAAATGTCTAGTCAAAAATGGCACTATCCTGAGAATTTGGGTTTTTGATGAAAAAACGATTGAAATTGGCCAATTTTGGCCTGGACACTCTGAAAATTCAGCAGTTTGAATTTCAGAGTTTTCAGCTCAAAACTACATTTCTTTTCTTGGAATTTTCTGGCTAAAAACCGGTCAAAAAATTGTTCTTTTTGAGCTAAAAATTCTGAATTTCGATCTAGTGAATTTACAGAGTTTTCAGTCTGAAATTGGTCAAAATTTAAGTATTTCAACTGTTTCAGCTCAAAAATCACATTTCTATGCCGATCTGAAAATGCTAATTTTACCCTGCAAAGCTTCGAAATTGCTAAATTTTTGGCATTCTTGAAATTATTTTTATGAGAAAATAGACGGGTTTTCTATGATTTTTCGTCTCAAAATCAAATAAATTTCTCCCAATTTCCGTTCAGATTGTCCCATATTTTCATAGTTTAAACCGTTTCAGGTGACATGTGCCATGTCTCAATGCGATCCGAACAGCTCGACAATGTCGGTGCTCGTCGACAAGTTGGCTGGAATAAAGGTAAGAAATCGATGAGGACATCTGGACTTGTGGAAATGACGACAGACAAACTGCTTGAAGATCTTGAAAATTTAATATTTTTGACTTAAAAATTCGGTGGAAATTGGTAAATTTCGGTCTGAAAACGTCTGAAATTCTCCAGACCCAAATTATCCAATCTCTTAATTTTCAGCTCAAAAATCCCAATTATAGAGCGATTTTCTCGAAATTTTTGTCTAAAAATTAGAATTTTGACGAGATCCTAGAGTTTTCCATCTTCGAAAATTGATGAAAATCAATCGAGTTCGGACTGAAAACGCTGAAAATCCGTTAGATTCAATCTCACGGATTTGAGCTTAAAATCACAGTTTAATCATCGATTTTCTCAATTTCCTGGCTAAAATTGAAAGAATTTTGTGGAAATCTGGGTTTCTGACCGAGATTCTAGCTGTTCCTATTGTCCAAAATTGGTAAAAATCGGCCTATTTTAATCTAAAAGCAGGGTTTTCGGCTCAACAATCTTTAGCTCTGGATCGATTTTTTTGAATTTTATGGGTTGAAAATTGAATTTTTCGACTCAGTCAGCTGACAAAATGTTCATCCCAAGACAGTAGTATGGATATCCCTATTTTGAGATTTTAGCTTGAAAAGTAGCGTTTTTCAGAGTAACAAGATTATTTTGAACACAATTGTTGACTTATTGAGGTCAAAATTTGAAAGTCATATCCCAAATTCTACTTTTTAAGCTTCCAAACTTTGTTTTTAGCGCAAAAAACTAGCAATTTTCAAGGGTAAAAAAGTGCCCAAAATTCAAAAAAGGCCTAGAAAGTCCGTTTTTTTGGCTTTCAAATTTTCTTTTTAACCCCCATAAAAATAGGCGAAAATTCCCTGTTTTGTTCCAGGAGGACGAACTGTCTCGTCTACACTTTGCTGAGATGCCAGGCGACGTCGTCGCAGAGGTCTACGCTCAAAAGTTGCAGAGAACGAAAGATAAGAAATCGGCGAGATACATGGCCGCTGGCGATGGAGAAGACTCGCCACCGGTTGGATGTTGCTTCACGTACGTCTTGAATTTTTGGGAAAAAAAAGGTTACTGAAAATTTGAAAAATGACCTGGAAAACCCTGAAAAATCTTGAAATTCGAAGGATCTTATGAATTATAAGTTTAAAAAAACAAAAAGCTGAAAAGTAGTGAAAATCATGGTTTCAGAATTTGGAAAAAATTTAAATCCTCACAAATCGGCACTTTTTGAGAAATCCAGCATTTTGAAACACGGATAGATTGGAAGAATTGGATTTTTGGGATGCTTATTTTTTTTTCTGAGAAAATTGACTTTTCCGAGTATTTTCTGAATTTTCGAAACGATTTCCTCTAATAAAACGGCATCTGTGGACCCTAGGCAAAGATTGAGATTATAAAATATTGTTCGAAATTTATTGTTTTTTGAAATCTGGAAAAAATCAGAAAACCATCGCATCAGAAAACCAAAAGTCTTTCCTAATTTTTGATGAATACAGTAATCTGAAAATTCATAAAATTTTGATTTTTATAGTTTTTTGACGATATTAGAGAAATTGCGTCAAAAATCGAAAAACTCAAATTTTCAAAAAAATGACGAAATGTCTGGCTAGAATCTGGAAAATCTGAATTTTGACGATTTTGAGAGAATGGACTGAAAATCACATTAAAAGGAATTTTTAAAAACTTTTTAAATTTAAAAAATTAACAAAATCTTAGAAGATTCTTAATTTTTGCCGAGAATTTTTCGATTTTGGCGGATATTCGAATTTTCAGAAAAATGTCAAAAAAGTTGAGTATTTTCAAGGAATTTCCAGAAAATGGACGGATTTTAATGCGATTTTTGGATTTTTTTTAGTTTGAAGTGTTCAGAAACATCAACGAATTTGATGAAGGTCCCAAAACGGAAACTACCGTAACCCAGAAATATTCGAATTTTCCCAAAATCCGTTTTGAAAAACCTCGAAAAAATCATTCGAAATTCACATTTTTTAAAAAATGCAAAATCTCGAAAATCGCTTATTGAAAATCGTCTAGATTCTAGACTCTAGAAAGATCTAGAACTTTCAGAATACTGTAGTTTTCGTTGCGGGACCTTTATTCTACTGTGCTATTCAAAAAAAAAATCAAAAATTCGGATAATAAAAATTTCTAGAATCTTCTAGAAGTTTTCAGAAATCGGCGACTTTCAGAGCGATTTTTAAAATTTTTATTTTTTTTTCAATTTTTTATTAAAATCTATTTTTCCAGTCAATGGGCCACTTCGATGTTGCGTCGTCGTCATCGCCGTACTCATCCAGATGACCAATCGATTCTTCCACCAGCCAATATTCAAGATTAGAAGAAGACAATCTACATCACATTCCACGTGGGAATCATCTGAAAATCGCCTGAAAATCGCCTGAAAATCATCTCTCATCGTTTTATTCCTCTCGTTTTTATTGTCTCCTCATTTTTTTCCCCAAAAAATCGATCAATCGATTTTTTTTGCTGATTTCTAATATAATAATCCCTTGTTGCTGCCTGATCATTGATTTTTTCAAAAATCAGATGAAAATTTTTTTTGCAGTTTTTTGCGGTTTTTTTGGAATTTTTTTGGCCTTGAGAATCTTCTTTTTTTTTTTGAAATTTCCTTTTTTTTTCTCTTATTAGGTCTGAATGGCTATAATTCTCAAATTTCCCTTTTTTTCTGTCTCCTGTCCCCGTCGTTTCCTCTTCCCCGGGTGGTCTATGTCTTATGAGGGTTACTGTAGTTTTGAGATTCTGAGATAAGGAATTTGAGGGTTACTGTAGAACAGGCGCCAACAAGTCCCTCTGGTGAAAAAAGAGGAAAAAAATTCTTTGAAATTTTTGGTTCCATGTGCTTGCTCCTTGGGATTCCGTGCACGATGAAATATGGGCGGCACAGAGAGACGAGAGAGCGTGGAAAATAATATTTCATTTTTTGACGTGGCATTTTGGAGAAGCAGTGGCAGAAGGAGGGGAAAGATCAACTGACAGGATTGACATGGAAATCGGTTGACAGCGATTTCGGGTTCAAATTTATGGACCAGAAAATTTTGGGAGATTTTGAGCGGGAATTTGAATTTTGTTGAAAGATTTGAATTTCAAAAAATGGAAATTGAAGGGTTAAAAAAGGGAAAAATGAGCTAAAAAATGGGAAAATTAGCGAAGAATTGAAAAAAAAGGAAATTTAAAAATATTACAAAAAAATCGAATTTTTTGATTTTTCCAAAAATTTTGCGGGAATTTGATTTTTGTAAACGCAAATAAATGATACAAAAATTCTGAAAAATAGAAAATAATTCGAAAATTCTTGAAAAAAACTTTTTTTGGAATTTTTCAAAAATTCGAATTTCCTCAAAATTCAAACCAAAATTTCTATAAAATTCGGATATTTTTGTAGATATGGAACATGTAAATTGAAGTTTTGAAACTTCAAAATTTTCAGAAAAGTTCAAAATTTCGAAAAAAAACTGTATGTCCTCTGGTTGGAGCACACCCAACACCCAGCCAACTTTGAGCTCAATTATTTTGATTCCTGTGAAAGATATCGAAAAATTGTCAACTGATAAAATATTACTGATATTATGAAAAACATTTTATCAGTTGACCATTTCTTGATATCTCGCAGGAGCTAAGATAATTCAGCTCAAAAAGGGGTAATAGGATTTTCAAAACACAATTTTTTTGAAAATTCTATTGCCCACTTTGAGCTCAATTATCTCGGTTCGTATAACAGATATCAAAAAGTTGTCAACTGATAAAATATTTATCATGATATCAGCAATATTTTATCAGTTGACAAAATTTCGATACCTGGTATAGGAGCCGAGACAATTGAGCTCAAAGTTGATGTTATGCTAAAAATCAAAAAAAAAAATTGTTGATAAAATTTCGAATTTTTCTTAAATTTCTCCTATGCGGTATATTCCTTTAAACCCGTTGATTCCAAAAAAACACAGTTCAAATTTTAAAAGGTACTGTATGTCCCTTTAAGATCCTAGAAACTAGACCCCAGAATCTCCTGTTATTCTAATTCCTATGGATTTAATTCAAAGATAACGAGAGAGAGAGAGAGAGAGAGAGAGAGAGAGAGAGAGAGAGAGAGAGAACCTCTCACTTAGAGAGTGTTCGCTCCCAAGAGACGCAGAGAAGAGAACCAGTGGCCGAAACAACAGCTACAGTAATCCCCTTGGCGCCACGCCCCCATAAAAATGGGCGCTAATGGAGTGGGTGCTTTGAGATGAATGAGATCGGACGGAGGAAAGAAAGACTAACATTATTGTTTCTGGCCCTCTCTCATTTTTTGTCTCCGATTTATTTTTATGGGACTTTTCCCCATTTTTTATCTTCCGATGACAATTTTTATTGGATTCGCGAGTAGTAGGGTTTTATTTGAATTGGGTAGGTTGGGTAACAGGTGGGGGCAATGAATGGGGTCCAAATGTTGAATTGAACTATTTTTTGAAGGATTCTACAAGATTCTAGAAGTCTTAAAAGGCTTTAGGAGGTTCTAGACGCTTCTAGAAGTCTCAGAACTTTTGATTCCAGAAGATCCCAAAGTTATTTAGAAACTTCTAGAAGGTTTTGAATGCTTTAAATATCTTCTAAACGTTTCTCAAATTAATTGAAAGTTTCTAGAAACTTCTGAGCTATTCTAGAAGATTCCAGACGATAGAGATTTCTAGAAGCTTCGAAATGTTTTTTAAAGATTCTAGAATTGTCGAGAAGCTTTTAGGTTTAGGTGCTTGTGCGAGTTTCTCTACACTTCTGATAGCTTCAGAATCTTCTAGAAGGGCTTCCAAAGTTTGTTGAGGGATTTAGATGCAATTAGAAGATTCTAGAAGCTTTTCAACTATTCTAGAAGCCTATAGAACGTTTTAGAGGTGTCTTGAATCTTTGAGAATCTCCATAACCGTCCAAAATGCTACTAGAAGGTTCTAGAAGCAGTCAAACTCTTTTAGACGCTTCTAGAAGACGTTGGAAGCCTCTAGGAGCGTCTGGACCATCCAAGCACGTTTAGAAAGTTCTAGAACTTCTTCACTTTGAATTCTGACGGTTTTGAAGGCATAACGCTTCATTCTGAAGTCCTGAATTTCGAAAGTTTCAGATTTTCATGAAATTTTAGAATTTTTAAAGGGTTTTCAAAGTTCCAGAGCTTCTTGAAAGTTAAAATTATTGCGAAACCAATTTGAAGAACTTTCTAGACACTTCTAAAAAAATCGTAGTTGATTGAAATCTTCTAGAAAGCTTCAAACGCTTCTGGACCTTTCTAAAACGAGCCAAAATGTTCTAGACGCTTTTCGACACCTTCTAAACCTTTCTAGACAATTCTGAAGCTATCCGAAGATTCTCAATAACTTCAGAAAGCGTTTAGAACCTTCTAGAAGACTCAAAAAGCTGTTAGACGCTCCTGAAACCTTCTAGAAAGTTTTAAACCTATTCCAGTTAGTTTGAGAGCCTCTTTAGAAGCCCCTAGAAATCTTCCATAAGCATCTAGAACCTATTAAAAGAGTTTTAAATCTTCTACAGGCGTCTAGCACGCAGGCCCCAAACGCTTTTAGAAGATTCTAGGAGCGTTCAAGACAATTCTGAATCATCCCGAAGGTTCTCAAAACCTTCTAGACAATTCTAGATCGTTCTGAACTACTCAGAATGTTTCAGACGCTTCTAGAAGCTTCAAAATAGAGATTCTGAACAATTCAGAATCCTTTGAGCCCAATCTAAAGGAGTTTCTCAACTAGAAACACATGTGTATTAGAATCCGAGGGGTCCGATAGAGGGGTGTCTTCCTTCTCTTCCTTTCGACTCGTAAATCTTTCCAATTTTTATGGCCATGTCAATGATTCTTTCGAGACACAAACACACATACAACAATCGGAGCAAGAAGACGAGCTCATTTGCATTTTCCTCTTCTTTTTCCTATCCTTCTTCCGATTGTAATATTGGTTGTTAACGAGTCTAATGGGGGCGAGGAGTTTGAAGGCATTTCCGGGGGTATCAACTTTGGCAGAGGCTATCTTGGTTCCTGTAAGAGAATAAAAAAGTTGTTAACTAGGAAAATATAGAGCGTAAAATTTTAAACATGTTAACAATTTAAATATTTTAGCTAGCTGTCCTAGTTTTTGAGTTATGCGCCTTTAACCCGTGCGCACCGGTGTGAGAACGGTGCAAGCGCCCCCTTTTTCTTTAAAGGCGCATAACTCAAAATCAAAATAAGCTATAAAAAAGTTGTCAACTAAGAAAATGTAGAACGTAAAATTTTGAACATTTTGATAATTTACTTTATAGCTAGCTGTTTTAGTTGTTGAGTTATGCGCCTTTAAAGTGTTCACTTCTCTTGAGGGGCGAGAATGGTGCCAGAGCGCATCCTTCCTTCTTTAAAGGCGCATATCTCCTAAACCAAAGTATCAAAAAGTTGTCAATTAATAAAATGTTTATCATAATATCAGTAAAATTTTATCAGTTAACCATTTTTTGATATATTTCCCAGGAAGCGAGATAAATCGGGCGAGCCAAAGTTAGCAGTGCGACGACCCGGGACTCTTTAGGCGCGGCCGTTTTGAACGACCCCCTTGATTTTATTTTTTCTTTCATTTCTGATTTACACAATTTTTATATTAAAATGTGTAAAATGTTACGCTCTACATTTTTTCAGTTTACCACTTTTTGATATCTCTTACAGGGACTGAGGTAACTTGCGTCCAACTGGACAGCATGTCTAAAATCACTCTTACCTTCTAATTACCCAATTATTCTCTCCCGTTAATTACCCCTCTATGCCCTTCACGAAAAGCGCGCCCACCTGTCATAACATTTATCTTATTTCGACTTCGTTTTTTGGCTCCAATTATCTCAAAAACCGCCCCAAAGAACTACAGTAATCCATCCCCCCACGGAAATTTCAAAATGTCCCCTGCTACTCGATGCATTGCGTCACACATTGAGTCCCCCGCCTTTTCTACCGTAATCCCCATGTCTAACACACTCTCATTTTTACACACTCTCTTTCTAACTAATTGATAATTTATGAGGTTTTAATGTTCTTCTTCTTCTTCTTCTTCTTCTTCTTCTTCTTCTTCTTCTTCTTCTTCTTCTTCTTCTTCTTCTTCTTCTTCTTCTTCTTCTTCTTCTTCTTCTTCGTCTTCACATTCTTCTTCTTCCAAAAATTCTTGTCCTCGCTGATGGAGAGATATATTTACTGATAAATATACTGGTGGGGTGTCTTTCTGTGTGTCTGTGCGTCCCAAAGAATCTAAGAAACTGGGTTTTCGAAGTTTGAGAAGCAAGCTACAACCATTTGAAGTTGGTGGCCTAGTTTTCGGAATTTTACAAAAG